TAGTGCATCATATTATTATTATTTATTATTATTATTTTTTTTTTTTTACTTATCCTTTTAGTCTAAATTAGACAAGATCTTGGAGGTCGTGCTCGTAAAGAAGCTCAAGAACTCTTCTTGGTTCTCTGTACAGGGATCTTTTGTCCTTTCCAATGCAATTTAGTAAATGTTGGGGAGTGGCCTCTTCGGTTTTGCACCTAGTGCACATGGGGAAGCTTTTGGCTCCCTCTTTATAGACTAGGGGGCGCAGGTGATCAGATTTCCATCTGGCCAACTGTGTCGATTCCCTTCTGTTTAGTTGGAGGGTCTGTTTTTTGAGGTTTTCTACCTGGTACCAAGAATGATGGAAACTATCTCTATGGTTCCTTATTAGTTGTAGTTTCAGTTTATTGATATGGTCCCTTGCTGAAAGATAGGTCTCGGAGTTCACCGCATCAGGATGTCCAGCTGCTCCTTCCTTAGCCAATCTGTCGGCCTCCTCATTTCCAGGGACTCCCACATGTGATGGAATCCATTGTAGACTTATTTTGGTATTTTTATTCAGTTTGTTGATTTCTGCAGCAATGTTTTTGAGGAGTCTGTCTTGTGAATAGTAGCAGTTTTTAATTGCAAAGATGGCGGCTTTTGAATCTGTATAAATTATTATGTTTTTAGTCTCGTTTTTCTCTACAAGTTTTAGAGCTTGTAGTATGGCTGTTAGTTCGGATCTGAAAACTGACAAGTTCTTTGGGTTTTTGATTCTTCTTTTTATTTCCATACTATCTTTAAGGATGAGAACTCCACTGTCAGAGGAGCCATTCTCCACCAGTGAGCCATCGGTGTATATCTGTATGGTCTCTTTGTCTGCTTTTTCAATCCTCTCCATAGCGAGGCTCCTGAGTAGTCCAGGGTGGTCGGCCCTTTTGGAGCATTCTTGCTCTAGATCCAGGTTGTAGGAGATTTCTGGTCTTTCTTTATATGGTGCATATTGGTTCTGGGCATTTCTATTTCTCGTGCTGTTTGGTAGTAGTTCCCGGTAGGCTAGGTGCATTGGGCTAAGTCTTTTGAGTCTGGTTTTTGGTTTCCATTTTCGTATAAATTCTCCGGTTCTGTGTGATTTTGGTGCATTTACTCTCTTGTATATATAATCGTCTAAGCCGATTTTTCTCCGGTGTGTAAGAGGCAACAAGTTGGCCTCAATCTCTGCAATTTTGGTTGGACAGGTGTTTCTGAGTCCACATATGATTCTTGCAGCACTGCTCTGTACCTGATCGATTTTATTCAGGTTGGTCTTGCTCGCCGTCTGCCACACTGGTTGGGCATATTCTAAGATTGGTCTGATAAGGGCCAGATATGTTTGGCGCAGAGTATCCCTATCTGCGCCCCATTCATATCCAGATATTCTTTTCAGAATGTTAAGTCTCTTTTTTGCTCTTAACACTGTCTGGTTGATATGAGGTCCATAGGTCAGTGAGGGGTCTAAAGTGACTCCTAGGTATTTGGGTGTCCGAGAAAATTTTATTTGATTGTTGTCATATTTGATATTTGGGGTCCATTTTTTAAGGTGGTTGTTTATTGTAAATACTCCTACTTCGGATTTATTAGGGTTTATAATTAATTTCATTTTTTCCGCAAAGTGTTGGAGTTCTTTCAGCGCCTTGTTTACATTTTTGTTTGCTTCCTTGAGATCTCTCTTTGAGGACCAGATGATTATGTCGTCGGCATAGAGAGCAAAGTCGCAGTATTTTGTGATTCTAGAGTCCATGTCATTCAGATAGATTGAGAATAGTAGGGGGCTTAGTATGGATCCCTGAGGGAGTCCCTGGAAGAGCCTGCCAGTTTTTGATAGTTGTTCTTTGAAGTTAACCTGGAAGGTCCTTCCGGTCAGAAAGGATCCAATCCAACCCATCATCTTCCCCCTTATACCTAGTTTGTCCAGCTTCTTAATTAACCTTTCTTTCCACACTCTATCAAAAGCCTGGCTTAAGTCTATAAAAGCGGCTATGGTAGACTTGGTTGGTTTACTTTGGAAGTTGTCTTGAAATTTCTGTGTGAAGTAGAAAATCTGATCTACTGTGTTATGATATTTTTTGAAAGCTGCCTGCTGTTTTGTAAGTAACTTGTTTTTGTTTAGGAAGTATTGCATTCTATTTAGTATCATGCGCTCCATGAGTTTGCATGGTATGGAAGTTAGTGATATTGGTCTATAACTCTGTGGGTGGTTTTCTGTTTTTCCTGCTTTATGGATGGGGATTATGATTGCATGCTTCCATTCTTTAGGTAAGGTGCTGCTTGACCAGCTTAGATTAATTATGTGAAGGAGCTCTAAAATGGCGTTTGTTTCTAGGTGTTTTATCATTTTGGCTGATATGATGTCTGAACCTGGGGTTTTGTTATCATCTAATCTATTTATAGCTTCTTTTAGTTCATGAGGTAAAAATGGCTTGTGGAATAAGTCTTGGTGAGATGTTGTTTTGGCCTCGTTTCTTATCTTTTTTGATATGTGAAGTACTTTCTTATCTTGCCTCGTAAAGTTTAGTTTAGAGATTTGTGTATAGTAATCAGCAAAGAGGTTTGATATTTGGGTTCGTTCTGTGAGTACGTTGCCATCTTTGTCTGTGAATGTATTTGAGGTTGTTGAGTACGGAGTTTCTTGGTTTATAGATTTAATTAATTTCCAGAGTTTCGTATCTCTTGTATGTGGGCCTAGGTTGCTACAGATATCCCTCCACTTCCTCTGTTTTAGTTGATTTGCTTTCTGTCGCACTTGGGCCGAAAGTTTGCTGAGGTTTATTTTATTTTCAAGTTCATTGTTTTCCATGAGGTATTCTTGGGCCTGATTGCTTTGAGTTATTTCATTCTGTAGGCTGTTAATTGTTTCAATATATCCTGGGATGTATTGCTTTCTGTTTCCTCTGGGGATGGTTTTCTTGGCTGCTTTGAGTACTGTCGTTTTCCATTTTTTCCATTTACTATTTAATTGTTGTTTGTCATTCGTTATTTTTGGTGCGAGGTTGGTTTCTTGTCTAAATTTGGTCCAATCTGCCTTTCTGTAATTCCAATAAAGTTTCTTGGGCAGTGCTTCCTCCTTTATTTCAGTCGTTGTTGTCGTAAGCAGGGGGAGATGGTCGCTCCCTACTCCCTCTAAGACTTGGGTGAGGGTCTGATGGGCTAGTTGTGGAGTAGTTATCACCAAGTCCAAGGTTTGGGGAGTACCATAGGAGTTAGATACGTAGGTAGGTCCCTCAGAAATGCAAAGGAGATCAGTATTGTCCAGGTAGTTACTGAGTGCTTCTCCACAGTTGTTTGTCTCATTGCAACCCCAGGTGGGGTGTTTGGAGTTGAAGTCTCCTAAAAGGATTGTTTTGTCTGTTAGAAGGTGTGTAATTTGTTGAAGTTCTGGTCCTGGTTTATCTGGGGGGTGGTAGATATTGAAAAGTAGAATTGGTTCTCCTGTTTCCTGGTATAATTTTATTCCCTGTATTTCTGTCTGGTTTGTTGGGGGAATGATTATTTCTTCGAATTTTAGTTCCTTTATCAAAGTTAGAAGTCCTCCGCCTCCTCGACCCTGTGCCCTGTCCTTCCTGATAAGCTTATTGCCATTCACTTTGAGTGCCTTTTCTGGTCTTAGTTTTGTCTCTTGGATGCAAATCACATCCGCCTTCCTTTCCTCTGCTCTGTGTAACATCTCTTCAAGTTTGATTCTGCTTCCCCTTGTTCCGATTCCATTGAGATTACATTGAATTATTTTAAGACTGTGTGATTTGTGGTTGGGTGGAGACTGTAGTATATTTTTCGAGTTGGATCCTCTGCCTAAATCCAAAACGCGGTTCAGATCCTGCGCGACAACCGATGCAGTATGAGATTCTGTTGTGCACGACTCCATATAGGTTATATGCCAGTTACGTTAAAGCGCTGGTTTTATCCAACATTTCCCCGAGGTCACCTACAGAGAGGTGTAACTTGGACTTTGACCTGGTATTAAATGGCCGCCTCTAACATGAGGAACAGACGCCCTGTGCAGCCGCTCCTAACATGGAGAACAGACGCTGCTGAATATCCTGTAACCCAAGAATAGGAGCCCTTACAGGGTGCTATCAGTCGGGCCAACTGAACCCAGGTTTTTTAACGAGCTTGTTACTGCTCCCCCTCCTCCTTTTACATTCGGGCTTGGGACCGACAATGGCGGAGTTGCATCATATTATAAATTTGACAACTACTGAGAAATAAAATCAACATTTTTTGACATTTTCCCCAGTAGATAGCGTTCTACTATCCGCTCTACTGTCGCCAGGAATATTTTTGACAAGATCCGCCACCTTTCCATCCCGGTTATGTGGTTTCCTCTAATTCAAAACAAACAAAACGTGTATCCAATTTGCACAGGGAACAGGCTAAATCAATGATTAGTTGATTTCTGTTCCACCAGATGGCGCTCTGTAAAGCACATGTGCTCCTGGTCAGGATATGCCTACTTTGTTTTTGATATCAACACCTGACCCGCTTATTATTATTTTTTTATATTGTTTTCTAGTATAACTTATATATAAAATATTTTTAAATTAATTAAAAAAATAAATTTGATTTCTTTTTAAAATGAAACTTCCTTAAGTTTTGACCATGAATGCATTATATATATGTACCAAACGAAGCACCTTTAATTATACATCAGAACATCACTCTGGTAGAAACTTTACCAGTGAACATATACTGTGGATCTATTGAAATAATGGAAATTGAAAATTATTTCCACAATTTCTTCCTCACTTCGATCAAGTTGACAAACCGATGTGCGGATGTTGTAGACCGGCCCTCACAGTCAACTGGGGGGTGTTTGGGGGTCGATCAGACAACCTGGGGGTCGGCTGTTCACAACAATGTACGTTACAACAATGTACGTTACAACACTGGGGTCGGCTGTTTATAACAATTAGCGCTACAACAATGTGGTGAACGTGGGAGGTTTGTAACCGCTGGTTTAGAGAGAAGTTTTGAGAAAATATTTTAATCTATTTCTACATATACCCAGGTTGGTAGACCGCTGGGAGGTTAACAGACGGGGATCCGTGCCAGAATGCCGAGCAATAAGGAGATTAATTTATTTATATTCTTTTAAAATGTTTAAAAAATGAATTAATGACGAGTGTCCTCAGCGAACTCACGGCGTGTTATACAGTACTTTACCTTTGTAACAATGTCCAGCATTTTAATGCAAGAATATCATATCAAAACAATATTGCATTTTATTTTGAAAAATAAAAAAAAGGAAAAATCTCCATAATCAAAACTTTTATTATAAAAAATATATTCGATACGCAATAAAAATATGTTTAAAATTAAAATATTTTAAAATGACAAAATTTCATGTTATTTTACACATATTCTGTAATACACTAAAATAAACAGAAGCTATTATGTATATCAATAAAATTTATGTAAAAATAAGGGGGGGGGGGGGGGGGGATATAGGAGAATATTTTTGAATAGTTTCACATTTATTCACTAGATGGCAGCAGGTGTCCGTTGTTTCTTCAACAATCGATTCAAGGAAAAATCATCAAAAACAAAATAAATAGCGATTTATTTATTAAATTTATATCCATATAGTATATTAATATGCGTAAATAAAAACCAACTTGAATAAAGTGTTAAATTGAGGAAAAGTAACTACAGTGAGTTTAAATATAACTTCTAAGAAATGCTGCCGGCTGGGAGTCGTGGCGTGCTCCTGTAATCCAGCTACTTGGAGGCCGGGGTTGGTGGACGGCTTGAGGCGAGGAGTTCTCCCTTCTGGTTCCCTATGTTGACCGGATGTCCGCACTAGGCCCAGCGTCAATATGGCGACCCCGGGGGAGCCCGGGGCCTCCAGGTCAGCTAAGGAGGAGTGGACCGGCCCAGGGCGGAAACGCAGCAGGCAAAAGCTCCCGCGCAGGGCGGTAGTGGGATCGCGTCCGTGAATAGTGTCCAGATGGGAGCCTCGCTGATATAGTTGGACCCAACTCTTTTTTTTTTTATGTTATTTTTATAATTTTAGAAAAGAATTTCTGTTATAAAAGAACATTTCACAATTTTTGTATGCTCTAAAGAGACTAATGGTCACAGGTTCGAACCCCGACATGGCAATTTTTTTTTTTTAACTCAAATGTCAAAATTATTTTTATTATTATTATTATAACTTGGAGATATGTTTATATAACGATGGGATTTGCATAAAGATCATGGGTTCAAGCCCCGGCTTGGAATTTTTTTTTCTAAACTTTAATATATTCTTTGACGCGTTAGCTTCTTTTAAAAATAAAATAATGTATCTACTGTTCTTACTGCAAATGTAAAATGATTGGAGGGCCTGGCTCATCAGTGGTGAACCCTCCCAGCGGTTTCGCCAACATACCGCAGTAATATTGCATTGCATTGTTTTTATTTTATGTCAGTACTAAAACTAAACTCTGGAAAAGCTATTTTCAATTATTTATGGGGACATAATCTTTGAGAACAGTAGAAATACATAGAAATATAACTTTTGTGCGGGTTAAATTTATATGTAAATTTCTGATTTGCACGTTGTACACAGGACGCCCAGCACAATGTGGGACATTGAGGACGATTGGAATTTCAGAGTTGGAGATTGGCTGTGGTGTCGAACCACGGGGTAATTCTCGGTATAAGACAGGAAACACAAATTCCGGTCCTGAATCCGATTTACACTAATGAACCAAACTTATGGAAGTAGAAAGTCTTTGATATCGCCTGTCGTCTATCCCTTTTCTTGATTTATCAGGAAATTAGGGTTGTCCAAATATCAGGGAACAGGCTCAATCAATGTTTAGTTGATTTCTGTTCCACTAGATGGCGCTCTGCCATCTGTAAAGCACATGTGCTCCTGGTCAGGAAATGTCTTCTTTATTTTTAAGAAATATTTTGTTCACATTTTGTTATTTCGTGTATCTTCAATAAAGGTCACTGTAATATCTTTCAGAGTTATTGTCCCGATATACATGGTGAAAGGTACAACTTCCTTAAGTTTTGTCCATGAGTGTATCTTTCAGAGTTATTGTCCCGATATACATGGTGAAAGGTACAACTTCCTTAAGTTTTGTCCATGAGTGTATCTTTCAGAGTTATTGTCTGAATCCCGATATACATGGTGAAAGGTACAACTTCCTTAAGTTTTGTCCATGAGTGTATCTTACAGAGTTATTGTCTGAATCCCGATATACATGGTGAAAGGTACAGCTTCCTTAAGTTTTGTCCATGAGTGTATCTTTCAGAGTTATTGTCCCGATATACATGGTGAAAGGTACAACTTCCTTAAGTTTTGTCCATGAGTGTATCTTTCAGAGTTATTGTCTGAATCCCGATATACATGGTGAAAGGTACAGCTTCCTTAAGTTTTGTCCATGAGTGTATCTTACAGAGTTATTGTCTGAATCCCGATATACATGGTGAAAGGTACAACTTCCTTAAGTTTTGTCCATGAGTGTATCTTTCAGAGTTATTGTCCCGATATACATGGTGAAAGGTACAACTTCCTTAAGTTTTGTCCATGAGCGAACACTATTTTATTTATTTCAGAGGAGAGATAGAAAAAAAGAAGAAATTCACAGAAGTCTTCTAATTGCGGCTTTGTAGAAAAGATAACGACGACTCTGGCAGACGTTCCCACCATATCCACCTGTGATAACAATCTCTGATAGCAAGTTTTTACACGACTTCAGACATTTTTCTATGAAAAATAGACACTTCGGCCAGTTAGAGTTTTTTATTTTCTCAACGTTTCGACAAAAATCTTTTGTCTTCGTCAGAAGAAGTAAATAAAAACTGGCCGCAGTGTCTATTTTTCACAGAAATATGAATGCCGGCCAGGCAACCTCAGGATTCAAACATCTGAGTGAATCACACATATTTACATATGTTTTTTATCTTTTGAAAACTGCAAAAATCTCTCATAATGAGTTTCCTTTTTTCAAATTATGAAATGCTATTTTTCAAGCGATAATCGCGTTTCAACAGACTTAATTAAAAACATCGACTGTTTCTTATAACAAGTTTTTACAAATATTTCTTATAAGAAACATTCCATGTTTTAATTAAGTCTGTTGAAGAGCGGTTATCACTTGAAAGCTTGTATTTTATAATAAAAAAGAAAACTAAATGTGAGAAAATTTGTAGTTTTTAAAGTTTTCACAATTTTATCTTGAATAATGAATATGCTTTATCTATTTACAATGAGAAAGCCCTTCTATCTTCATTATCATTTGGCAGTTTCCAGTTCAGTGTTGTTCTCCCACTGTTACATCCTGCAGACATCCAACTGTCTCCACCATCCAATCCTCCCTGGTTCTCTCAGAGATAACTTTGTCTTCACTTCTCTTATCAATGGATATTTTAAACAAAAAAGTCTTATTAAGACCTTTCTGTCTTATACAGATTGTCCGAGTAGAAGAAGGTATATACAGGAATAACAGTAATAGTAACAATAATCAGCAATGTTATTTACAATGTATCAAATATGGGAAAAGCAGGAAAGGCTTGTCATAAACTTATATACAAGCAGTCTAGAACAAGCAGTTCCTTAAAGAACTTGTTCCAAAATCACTTTATTAGGTACCGCTCAAAAAGAGCTACCTAGTTTATGATAATTGCAAAAATGAATAATCTGTGATGGTTATTCATATATTAAGCAAAAATTTAACGCGGGATTCAATCCCGGTTCATGACTGTCGGGAATCGAGGGTGTTACCCACTCGTCCACCGACTTTTTCTTGTAAGTATTTCTTAAAGACCAATAGTTAGTATATTGACAGAAATTTAGATGAGTACAAGTAAATATACAACAATGTATTAGACATAATTGTCAGGTGTCTGAAGTTTTATACATGGATCAAGGGTAGAGGATTATCTACATTTTCCAATGAATATCATTTCCACACTGTAGATTGGATATAAGCGAATTCCCGGTTATTTTAAAGGCTATAGCCTTTCCTAAACATCCGTCGCCTTGTAAGAAAATTGGAAATTACCCACACTTGTGTTGGCCAAAATGTAATGATGATTAAATTTTCTATAATTACAATTAAGGTACCATTTGTATTACAGATTAAAACACAATGTAGAATAAGACCAAATAAATAGTATGTGTATAATAATAAATGTATTGATTTGTGGATAGGTCCTATTACATTGTTAATCTATAATACAAATTGTACCTTATCAATTACTTGTATATAATTATAGAAAATTTATAACTGGATGAATGCAATGACGTTTGATCAAGGTCTTCTTTTTGGTTTATATTGTCAAATAGCTCCATCCAGATGGGACAACTGTCAATCATCCCTGGACCCCGGGAGGGAGGAAGCTGATATGTAAATAAGGAAAACGGGACGGTGGCTAACCCCGTTCATTTAGGAGTAACTTTTAACTTGGGTAAGTTGTACAAAACTCTCTCTCCCTACAAATACCCCTTGTAATAAATTATTTAATCCCAAATTTGCCCTTGCTTTATTTATCTCCGCGACATATTTTGGTGGAGACGCTGGGTAGCGTGACGGAACTTCGAAGAAGTCGACGTCTACAGGGACGTGAACCAATTCTTCAACCTTTGCCACAACGAATAGAAATGGAAGACGACCACAGACCTACTGTTAACGGATCCTACCTCCCTTGTCAACGCCAACGAGATCCTTCTACCTTTTCTGGAGATGGAAATATAAACCCTGGACAATGGTTGAAAGAGTACGAGAGAGTGTCGAAGTACAACAGATGGGACGAGACCATGAAGCTTGCCAACGTCGTATTTTATTTGAACGGAACTGCTGGAAGGTGGTTTGATAATAACGAAGAATCACTCAACTCGTGGAGAAGCTTTGAAGACGCATTCCGCGGTGTGTTCGGACTGCAGGAGGATTCTGCTCGACGCGCCGAGGAAGTTCTGAAGTCAAGAGCACAGAAGGCCGAAGAATCCAGCGAGTCATACATCCAGGAGATTCTTAGTCTCTGCCACCAGGTGAACCCTCGCATGGAAGAAGGTGAGATAGTTGCTCACATTATAAAGGGAATTTCGGAGGACACATACCAGGTATTGGTGGCGAAAGACATACAGACGGTAGATGAGATCCTGAAGTTCTGCCGTCATCTGACAACCGTCAAGCAGCGCCGGATCGGCCGTACGAAATTCGCCAGGTTGTCAAACGTAATGCCCATTTCGTGTGTTGACGACTCAGACGACTTGGCCGGCTTAATTCGCCGCATCGTTAGAGAAGAGATACAAAAGGTTTTCTCAGCACCTGAAGTGATCAATCCTCTCCGAGAGGTGAACGCCCTGGAACAGACTGTGAGGGAAGAGGTCAGCCGTGCTCTACAACCTACCAGACCACAAGTCAACGTGGTACAACAACAACCACGAACTCCCTATTATAATATCGACCGACCAACCCAACCCAGGAAGACGGAACATTGGAGAACCTACGACGACAAACCTATCTGCTTCCACTGCGGACGACCCGGACATGTCGTCCGTTATTGTAGGGAACGACGACAGGTCTTCGCTGAAGCCAGGACAAGGAATGGCGGAGAAGGAAGAAATGTTGGATTTTCGAGTCGACCCCCGAGATATGACGCCGACGACGACTATGTAACGCCCCAAACCTCGACGTACTTCTACCGGAGCTCTTCCCCACACCCAAGCCGCGCAAGGTCGCCAGCCCGAAGACAATCCCAGTCGCCAACCCGTCGTTTCAGCCGTTCTCCCAAGCCTCAGAATGTGAAAAACTAAGTGGAGCGGCTTCTAACGGGGGTGAGGTCGCCATTGAGGAAAATCCTCCAGGGTATATCGCCGCTAAATTAAAAGAAAATTTTGTTATGGTCGAAATAAATGGACGCAAAATTAAAGCATTGGTGGATTCAGGAGCCGACTTTTCTGTTATTTCAGACAAATTTCGACGCGAACTAAAGACACCTCTCTTCAAAGAACCAGGTCCCATTCTTAAAGCCGCAAATAAAAATTTAATAGAGACCCTAGGAAAATGTGTCCTGAACATAGAAGTTAATGGTCTGAAGATATCCTTTGAATTCGTTGTTATGGTGGAATGCAGCCATGACATCATATTCGGATGGGACTTCTTCAAGGCCACCGAAGCCGTCATTGATTGTGGCAGAAATGAACTCCATCTCGGGGAAACCTCCGTCCTGGAATCTCGAGAGGAGGAAAACCAGAGATTGTTTGCTTCCGACGACTTTGTCATCCCGCCTAAATCAATAAAGAAGATCAGTGTGATAAACGAAGAAGTATGCGGTGTTAGAGATGTTTTAGTCTCAACTTCTAAGGACTTATTATTAAGAAAAGAAGTTCTTATACCAAACTCATTGGTTACATTTCGACACGGCCGAGGTAGCATTTGGGTGGCGAATGGAGCGTCTTGGCCGCAACTGATTCCATCAGGAATGAATATGTGCACCATGGAAAGTTATGAGAATGGGAATATCTGCAGTCTTATTGAATCCAGCGATAAGTTACAAGAAACGCAGCTAAAGTCACGTGAATGGTCACAGAAGATAAACCTTACTCTAGATCCAGGGCTGTCTGAAATTCAAAGGTTACAGCTTGTTTCATGCCTTGACGAGTTTATCGACATATTTGACTTTGGGAGTACTTCTATTAAGCCCACCAGTACTGTGAAGCACAAGATAAACACAGGAGACCACTCTCCTATCAAACAGAGGCCCTATAGAGTAGCACCAAGTGAACGACGACTAATTCAAGATGAAGTGAACAAGATGATTGAAAATCACATCGTGAAGCCCTCTGAAAGTCCTTGGTCATCTCCAGTTATTCTAGTTCGAAAGAAAGACGGGACCTGGAGATTCTGCGTAGATTACCGTCGATTAAATAAGATAACAAAAAAAGATGTTTACCCTCTGCCACGCATTGACGATG